CCGACTGTACACTCCACCTCCCTGTACTCCCCCACTTGTCCAGATTTAGGCTAACATCATATTTTAACCATAGGCCCTATCAAATAAAAATGTTTTAAGCCTAGTCTTAAAAGTAGACAAGGTGTCTGCCTCATGGACTAAAGCTGGGAGCTGGTTCCACAGGAGAGGAGCCTGATAACTAAAAGATCTGCCTCCCATCCTAATTTTAGATATTCTGGGAACCACCAGTAAACCTGCAGTCTGAGAGCGAAGTGCTCAGTTAGGAACATATGGAACAATCAGATCACTGATGTATGATGGAGCTTGATTATTAAGAGCTTTATATGTGAGAAGAAGGATCTTAAAATCGATTCTGAATTTAACAGGTAGCCAATGTAGGGAAGCCAAGACAGGAGAGATATGATCTCTCTTTTTAATTCTCATCAGATTTCTAGCTGCAGCATTTTGGACAAGCTGAAGACTTTTAACTACATTCTGTGGACTTCCTGAGAGTAATGAATTACAGTAATCCAGTCTTGATGTAATAAATGCATGAACTAGTTTTTCAGCATCACTCCTGGAAAGGATGCGTCTAATATTAGCAATATTCCGAAGGTGGAAAAAGGAAATCCTACAAACTTCTCTCCCTCCTCCATCCATTTTGCTCTTGAACATACAAAAGCTCCTTGGGCTCTCTTCTTATAAAAATCATCCAATTTGGCTTGTAGATATAGTAAGTTTTCCTTATCCACACTAGTCATTTCTATTTTGTTGCAGCACCTACCAATCTCCTATAGAAGCTCACATTCCTGCTTTGTTCTTTCTTTGTTCAATTCTTTACTTTTTACAATCGAATATTCTCTAATCTTAAACTTTACATATTCCCATTTGCTGCAGAAGCTCTCCATTTTATCATCCTTCACTATTGCTGATATGATTCCTTTTATTTTCCCACAGTATTCTTTATCATTTAGCAGATTAGCATTGAATTTCCAATAGCCCTTACTTTCATTATTTCTATTCTTTGACTTCAATGATTCAATCAATCAACAAGACTGCCATTAACCAGTGCCCCTCTTCATCCTTTCTGTAAGTAACCTCCCCCGAAACTTGTAAAAACAAATAGCTACCCCTGCTGACTTAGTGCTTCCATGACTAAACAATATTTTATCCCCCCACATGTTTGTCCAAAACTTTACATCCACATCAGAAAAATGAGTTTCTTGCTAGGGGTGGGTGCAATTAATCAATGTGGTGATGCATCTAAAAGCTTAACATGTTGTTTCAGCATCGATTAATGAACGTCGATGCTTAAAAAAACATAACATCAAAGTTTTGTTGTGAAGCCGGTACTAAAAAAAAACAACACGTAACCGGAGCCTCATCTAAAAACTCACCTTTTCATCCAGGCGTTCCCTCCCTAAATGTTTCAAAAAGATGGCTTTGTTTGGGTTCACACCTTCACTTTGTTTATACTCATGATTTTATTTTCTACTTTATCACTGCTATTGTTTTTCTGATGTTTTTATTGGTTAGAGGTATTTGCCCTGATCTTTATCATGTTGTACAGCGCTTTGTGATTTATATCTGTGAAAGGCGCTATATAAATAAACTTTTACTTACTTACTTACTTAACGCGCACGCCGCCCGGACTGTTTAGTGAGTGGCACTACCTATTTGACCTCTTTCTCCATCCTGGAGACTGTCTCCAAACTACCGAAGAACTCCGAGAAGGCGAGGAGCATTAAAAAAGCAATAGCTACTTTTATCGCGACGGATCAGATAAATTTTTCCTTTTTCATTATTATTGTTTTTTTCCCTTAACGCATCCAAACCTGATCACTGCTAGCCAATCATTTTACCTTCAATGTAACCATGAGGCCCACGGTAATTGGCTCATTTCCCTTCAGCTCAAGCCTTCTCTATCTGTGGCCACAACTTATTTCTTGCTTCTCTGTCCTCCAGCGACATCATCTCTGTGAAGTGAATGCCCCTTTCCCTGCACACTGACGAGTTCTTGCTTTTGCACCATATCTCTTCCTTCGTCAATCTCTGAACAAACGTTGCCACAATGGGTCTGCTTCTGTTATCCACCTTCTTCCCCACACTGTGCACAACATCTACATCCTCCTCCAGCTGTCGTAAATCGGGGGCAATGCATTTGAAGAGTTGGATGGTGTCCACTGTGACGTTTTCATCACTTTTTTCTGAAAGGCCTTTCATCTTCAAACTCCATCTCATCCTGTACCTTTCCTGCTCCTTTATTTTCTCCTTCAGCATCATATTCTCATCCAGGAGGGCTTTTTGTTGTACTTCTAAGTCGTTTACATGCATTTGCTGGGTTTGCAAAATTGGCAGCTCCACTTCACCAACTTGTAGCCCAGCTACAGCAGTTACGAGGCCAGCAACGTCAAAAGCAAGTGGGTAATTATTGGTCTCAAGCATGTGAACAGGGTTTTGAGGAACTAAAAGCCAGACTGGTCAGACTGTATAGGGTGATCATATTTCCATTTCCAAAAAAGAGGACAGGGGATCTGTGCCTATGACGTCGCACTATGGCAACGCCACACAAACCACGTTGGGACCCATTTTTTTTTTGTAAGAACTAAAATTAAGATCAGATTCTGCCAATAAAAGGGCTCTAAAACAATTCATATATAAATATTTTGCATATTTATTGCAAAATCTCATTTTTCTCCTTTAGTGCTGCAACAAGGTTTAATAATAAAAAATATTTATACCTTTTGTTTTACTACAGCATCGGTAAGCTTCCTGTGCACAGATTATTAAGGATGCTTGTTTCAGCTGTGAGATTAGACGATAGGATCAATGAAAAAATAAGTTGTCACACACTCCATGGAAACTTTCAGAGAATCCACAAATAGTGGCTTTCAAACGGTTTTGTTACATTTTGCAAGTTTAGAAAAGAAGCAAATGAGACAGCATGTCTGATAAGTTAGTTTTCCATCTGATAATATTAGAAAATGTCAGTAATGCCCGAGGTTTTTTTTTTACAAACACTGTATAACTAATACTCCTGGACAGGGTATGAATTAAACAGAGGCTTCTGGGGAGCCCAGTTATGGGGTCAATCAATCAATCAATCAATCAATCAATCAATCAATCAATCAAAGATACTTTATTAATCCCAGAGGGAAATTAGAGTTTCAGTGCACACAATTCAGAGATCAGACATACATGGGCAAGACACATAACAAGAATTGGTGACTGTGGTCATTCGCAACCCTGAGTCGCGCTACCATAATAGAGATAAGAGGGTTACATGAGGATTGGTTCAGGTGGAGGGAAAAAAGACACTTCAAAGTTACTCTCCCTCCAGGAGAGCAGCTTTGCTCTGCAAAAAAAAAAAACACCTCAGACAGAGATATGCAACAGACTTCAGACAACACAACATAAGTGTCCACTAGGAGGGGTGGTGGGTTGGGACTATCCCAACTTCAGTTCCTGCAGCCACGATGAAGCAGCGCATGTCACCTCAGTATGGATGGGGGGGGGGGGGAACATTGAGGGTTGGAGGGCTGCAGTGACTCTGGACGCTTCGGCGGCCTTCCCGCTGTCCCGCCCAGGCTGGGAAAGGAGGCAGAGTTGAGTTGCTATAGCGAAGGCACATTCCACATATATTCTGAGGGGGGAGTTTTAGTTGGAGCCTCGCAGGCTCAAGGATGCCAGATTCCGATTAGAAATTGTTTTGGGGCCAGACAGAGACAATTTCCTCTTTGTCTTACAGTTTGTTGGTCCTCAACCTCTCAAAATCCCAATAATGGACGTTAATCTATCCCAATCAGTGCTGATTCGTCCACTCTCTCCTTGATGGCATCCATCTTTTGTGCCAAAGAATGAATCTCCACCAAAGTCCCAAGCTTACGATTCATCTTGACAATTATTTGAGTCTGTGAATTCACAGCGCGGTGCTCCGGGATCAGGCCAATATTCCTCAACAGCTCTTTAATTTTCCGGTAAGCCAGGTAGCCTCCTAGGCCAATGAGCAGGAAACCTGACACCAACACCACAAATATCCACACATCTTCAGAGTCCTCCACAGACAGCTGAGATAAACAAATCAAGTTCCACTGTTTCCAGGAGTTCATGATGTGTCCAACTGGGTCTGTACCGGCAGGACATCCGGGAGCTCCTTCTCCCGTTCTCATCGTTGAAAAAATGTTATCAATCACATTGAGAGACCAGCTGACGAGATCCATTTAAATGTATTTCAGTTTCCAGTTTCCAGAAAAATGCAGAAGCAGCCGTGCACCCAGCACACACAGACAGGGTGTTGGGTGGGAGGTGTTCTGTTTTGCCTTGGCCCCCAGAATGCCTTGAAACGGCCCTGGGTGTGTGACTGAGTTTTGAAGGTGATCTGAATTGTATCAGATGTATAAATATTACATGTGTATAACTTGTGTTGTTTTATACAGGTAAAAACATGTAGTGGAGATAAATCTACCTACATTTTACTTTTCAACACTTTGTTTTGTTTTCTTGTTTTTATTTCCTGTCCTGTCTGTCTCTCATCTTCCTGCATCTCCTCTAAAGTCTCTAGAAAAACTGCTGCCTGGATTCTTACTTTTTCACCTCATCAGTTACTTTTGAGCAGATCAAAGGGATCTCCTGACCGCAAAGCGGAGTGCACGTTTCGATGCTGCGTCAGTGAGGTGAAATCACAGCAGCACAGGTGATGAGCTCCGCAGTAGCAGAGCGCTTCAGGCACAAATAAGACAGAAAGTAGTGAATATAAGCAGACATGAATGATCGTGTGTTAATTATAGTTTTTTGGTTGCGCCCTTTGAGAATGGACCGTGCGCTGGACGCAGCAGCCTGGACGCAGCAACGATCATCGCTCTGCCGCTCTCTGCGAAAAAGAGTCCATATTAAAGATATTAAGGAATGGTGCCACCAGTGTGAACGCTGCACCTTAGCAAAAAGCCCCTCGTCCTCAGAGTTGGGCACCTATGGGACATGTACTGGCATCAAGAACAAGACATGTCCGGGGAAAAGAGGATGTATGGGCATCCTACAGATACAGTATTTTGCTCGTGCCCTTGCTGCAATGGGCCTGGGCCCTTTAGAGTTCGTGGACCCCTGGGCAATTGCCCAGTTGCCCATATGGTTAATCCGGCCTTGCCCAGAGGTAAACAGCGGCCTGAAGGTGGTGATGCTGAAAAATATTAAGGAATGGTGCCACCAGTGTGAACGCTGCACCTTAGCAAAAAGCCCCTTGTCCTCAGAGTCGGGCACCTATGGGACATGTACTGGCATCAAGACCAAACCAAGTATTGGCAACAGACTTTACAGTCTACCTGAAGAAGAAGGAGAAAATGTACGCAGTAAGTTTATTGAAATCTGCCAAAACATGGATCCTGGCCACAGAGATAAGTTCCCGGAGGTACTCGATTCAATCCACAGAATCGGCCGACAACGTGAGTCCTCTTCTGCACCACTGCATCGCGCCATAATCCTGCAATTTACTATAAGACACTTCCGAGACATCATCTGGAAGGCGGCAAAGCGATCTGACTACCTGAAGACAAGGAAGCTCCATTTCAAAGAAGATCTCTCTCCCGAGGACCGAGAGAGGCGCAACCAACTATGGCCACAGGTGGAGAAAGCACGTAAGGAAGGGAAAATTGCCTACTTCGTGGGAGCCCGTGCTTTCGTGAACAGAAAAGAAATTCACTGAAATCTCTTCCAGCCCAGTTGTGGATATACCTCAAGGTAGGGCTGGGCGATATGACGATTTTAGACCGTTTTACGATCTACACATCTGACGGTCTGTCATTTTTGAGAGACCGTTTTATCACGATTCACAGCTCTGCTGTTGAATTTCTGCCTCTGAATGAAAAGGGAACTTACCTCAGGCGAATGACACGCCTTTGTTTGACCCTTAACCAATCAGAGTGAGTCATAGTAATATATTAGTGCCTGCCCCGCTTGTTTTCCCCTGTGTGTGAACAAACATGGCTTCGCCGCGGCTGAGCGACAACGAGGTTTTCGTTCCGAAGAGGAACGCAGGGTTTCCTTAGCGCGCGGCGCTAACAACTTAGCGACGTGACATGTCTCGGAGAAAGCGTAAAAACATGTTGGACGCTTCTTCTGAAGCAGGAAAATAACACCGCTTCTTAAGCAGAGCACGACGCCGCCTCGGCTCGTTCACCCTCTGCCGAGCCGGTGTCGGTACCGGACTGAGCTCGGTCACTGGGTCGCTGGAGCTGTTCCGTGACTGCCTGATGGAAAACCAGCGGGTTTCATCAGACTCGTAGTTTCTTGTTTTTGCTGTATTTTACCGCTCCCTCCTGCAGTTCCCCTATTACAATTTAAAATGATTCTGTAAACTCCGTGTATCAATAGAAACAATCTCTGCCTCTGCCAGCTGCAGTAAATGTAGTTTCCAAATAATAAGAGGTGCATTCATCTGTGTATCTCCTTTGATCCGCATTAGTGATATTTTCAGCACCAGAACAGTGAAGTAAAGAAAGATTCCTGAGTTTGTTAGTAATTTTATTTATTAGGTGCATCTAACCTGTTCTATTTTTCTCTGAAATGAGATCAAATCAGTGCTTCTATGGGTTGTCTCCAATCTGCACTGGAAAATTTTACTTTATTTAGAGACTTGTTGCAGAAAATATTCAGAATGCACAGCGTTTTGCTACCACAAGCGATCTCTGGTCCAGCCGCACATCAGAGCCGTATTTGAGCTTAACTATCCACTACATGAGCAACTGGGAGCTACATAGTATTTTGAACAAGTTAATGTTTGCACAATACGTTTGCAATTGACATGTTTGCACTTTAAATAAGTTTACGATTTTAATTTATATTAAGTTACTTGAAAAACGAGAGAAACTGATTTTTGTAATTGTTTCTCTCAGGGCTTTTATCATCTCTGGTGTGAGTTTAAAATATAAGTGTGTTAGCACTGTGCTGATTATCCCTAATATGAATAAATGTTTATTTATTCAATGTTTCTCTTCTTTAATACACAATTGAAGTTATGCTATTCATGGATAAAAAAATCGTGATAAAATCGAAATCGTGATAAAATATTGGAAAAATCGTGATATTCTATTTTTGCCATATCGCCCAGCCCTAGCTCAAGGTCTCGTTCCCCTATTGTTCTGAAGACTTATAGTATGCTGTTGCTGCTAAACTGTTTTGTGAAGCACTTTTTTAGACAGAGTAGTTCTGCTCTCTCTGAAGCTTCCACACTCTTCTCAGGGTAAAAACTTAATTTACTTTTCAAAATTTCATCTTTATCCTTTATTTCTTTTAATGCTCGAGGACTAAGAGACAATACCAAAAGGAAAGCTCTGTTTTTATATGCTAAAAGTTTGAATACTGACTTTTGTTTCTTACAAGAATCTCATTCTGAACCTAAGGACGCTAACTTCTGGAAATCTCAATGGGGTGAAGATTTATGGATGTCTCATGGCACAAATCATTCAGCGGGAACTCTGATCTTAAAACATAAATTTAATGGAAAAGTTATATCCTCAGAAACTGATCCAAACGGACATTTTATTTTGCTGTTTTTTTTAATGATCAGACCCTCTTATTGGGTAACATTTACAGCTATAATAACAAACAGGAGAATATTGACCTAATACGTGTTATAAATGAAAAAATTGAGTCTTTAATAAGTAAATTTGCTAATCTAAAGATTATATTAGGAGGAGACTGGAATCATTCACTCAATGACATGATAGATAGATGGCCAAGTAAAAGTCAGGAAAGTAGTAATTACATGTTGGATTTTATAAATGAAAGAGACCTAATTGATATCTGAAGAATCAAAAATCCAACAATTAAGGAATTTTCGTGGAAAAATAGATCTGATTATTGGCTAATTTCTGATCCTTTATCCGAATATGTTTCTACATCAAAAATGTTGCCAACACCCTTGACAGATCATAAAACAATTTTTCTGGAGATATGTTTCTGTGCTAGAAAACCATCTAAAAGAGTGAATTCATATTGGAAATTAAATAATTCTCTTCTACTGAATGATTCTTTGGTAAAGGAAATTAAAACAAAAATAGATGAGTTTTAGAACAAGGCATGTGTTGAAAATACTTTTTGTAAAAATTGGAAGCTTATGAAATTTGAATTGAGGTCCCTTTTAATGAAAAGGGGAGCTGAAACAGTAAAAAAAAAAAAGAAGAGTCAGAAATAATTTCTGAAATTATTACTTTGTCTAGATCACCTGATAATTTATCGGAAGATAACCGGAACAGATTTCAAATTCTACAATTAAAATTAGATAATATATATATTTACAAGGCAAAAGGTGCCTTTGTGTGGTCAAAAAGGAAATGGCTTGAAGAGGGAGAACAAAACTCTAGCTATTTTTTCAAATTAGAAAAACACCATAATGCTCTTGCCAGCATGACTAAACTTCGTACAGACGGGATCACCACACAAGACCCTCAAGTGATTTCCAAGACTTGTGAACTTTTCTATAAAAAATTATATAAATCTAATCTTTCTACAGAAGCCATGGAAATTTTATGGAAGTAATATTAAGACAATTAGTGACAATAATAAAACTATGTGTGATTCCCCTATCACAATGCTAGACATTGAAGAGGCTATTAAGAAAATGAAGCTTAATAAGAGTCCAGGGAATGATGGTATGACTTCAGAATTTTACAAATTATTTTCAAAGGATTTGTCATGCTTTTTACATAAAGTATATGTTGAAAGCATTATAATAACAAGCTGCATCCTTCTTTGACTCAGGGGCTAATTACTTTGATTCCAAAACCTCAAAAAGACACCCTTTTGATAGAAAATTGGAGACCTATTTCACTGCTGAATAACGATTATAAAATAATTGCTATGTGTTTGGCTAAAAAGTTAAAATGTGCACTTAATGATATCATTGGTGAAACACAGTCTGGTTTCATGACTGGCAAACACATAACTAACAATATAAGACTGGTAATTGATATTTTGGATTATTCAGATTTAATCACAGATAATAGTTTCATTCTTTTTTTCGATTTCTATAAAGCTTTCGACTCCATTGAACATGAATTCATGTTCAGAGCACTTGACATTTTCGGTTTTGGAAATATCTTTAAGGAATCAATTCAAACTCTATATGCAGATGCAAATAGCTCAATCAAACTCCCATTTGGTACAACGAAAAGATTTGATATCAACCGTGGGATCCGGCAAGGCTGTCCACTTTCCGCATATCTCTTCCTTCTTCCTATGCAGTTACTTTCTATTCACTTTAAAAATAGCAGTGTGGTGGGTCTCTCTATTGCTGGCAGAGTACTATCTATTACTCAACTAGCAGATGACACAACACTTTTTTAAAAAGATGAATATCAAGTTGATGAAGCTCTCAAAGTTGTCAATAATTTCTCTATAGCCTCTGGGCTTAAACTCAACATTCCAAAATGTGAACTTCTCCCTGTTAAATTCTGCACGGATACTGTTATATCAGGTGTCCCTGTTAAAAATAAGGTTAAATATCTTGGTATTATCATTCAAAAAGACCAAGATGCCAGATTATCTGAAAATTTTGACCCTCTTATAATTGCAATACAACATAAATTTAATCTTTGGCTTCAAAGAGATTTATCCATTACCGGAAGATCCTTGGTAGCCAAAGTTGAAGGCCTCTCCCGACTTATTTATGCAGCTATGGCACTTGATGTTTCGAAAGAACTATGCACAAAAATTGATAAAATATTATTTAACTTCATT